GCCCCAGAATACAAAGTTCCAGACTGGCAACAGCCACACTATGTTCCAAAATGGCAGCCTAAGGAAGCTGTTCCAAAATGGTGGCTGTCTAGACAATTTGTTTCTCAGGATTGGGTTCAGAGTGCTCAGCAATCCAGGCACTCAACCCTACAACCAAGAGAGAGGGAAGACTGGCTCCAGCTGGCAGCAGACCTTGGCATCATCTACGTGGTTTTATGTGCATACAGAATGCAAGAGTGTGGGGGTCAGGGAGGCTTCCACCCAGATTTCAGAAGAAAGCCTAAGAGGCCAGACAATGTGCCTCTGAGAGGGCAGTGTGTGAAGCTGAAGGTACAGTGGAGACCCCAGACTTTGGAGAAGCAAGGAGTGTGGATTGCCTAACGAAAACTGCAAAGAGGGAGCAGAACCAGCCCCAGAGAGAAGCCATGGAAGCTACAACCATCAGAAGTGCCACAGGGGCAGAGCTACCCAAGCTCTTTGGAGTTCACAACTTGCCACAGATTGCCTCAGATGCTGGAAATAGAACTGTGGAATATAATATTTGGCCTGCTGGATTTTGGACTTACTTTGGTCCCATTCCTTTGTATCCCCCTATTTGTACCTTTTGGAGTGATAATGTTTATCTTGTGCCATTGAATGTTGGAAGTGTTTTTCTTTCCAATTATACAGGGGCTTGCAGCTAAGAGTTTGCCTTAAATCTCAGAGGAGCCTTGGGACATAGACTTTTCAGCAATGCTGAAACTGTTAGGACTTTGGGAACTCTTAGAGATGGACTAAAGGCCTTTGTGTAAAGGAATGTACATGAGTCTTTGGGGTACCAGGAGTGGAATGCTATGGTTTGGGTCTAGATGTCCCCCCAAAGGCTCATGTAGTCATAGGCTTGATCTACAGTGTGTGAAACTGGAATCGATTCATGATACAATGCTAGGCTCGAGGGCACTAGGATGAAGGGTGTGAGTGCTACTGGCCCTAAGTAGTCTGATTAAGACAAAAGGGGCAGGGAGACACTGTTAACTCTCTTGTTATTTTTGCTGCCTTGTTGTTTCTGCTCTGCCATGCTTGTTTGTCATCCCTGCCTTGAAGTTGGCTGATTATGGACTAAAACCTCTATGAACTGCAAGCCAAATAAACCCTTTCCTCTTAAGAAAAAAAAAAAAAACTATCTCATAACAACTTGTAATAATTTGTCCTAATTCTACCCTGTGGAGTTGTGCAGAGTAAGTTTATACTGTATGAGGCATTTAAATACACGATGAATGTTTAAATTTTAAATTTTTATTACATTAAAAGACACATTGTCATTAATCTCCCTCAAAATACTCTCCCTTACTTTGAATATACTTAAGCCATCATTCTTGCCACTTTCTAAAGCAGTTCTGAAAGTCCTCTTTTGTGTCTTTATGAGGTACGATGAAAACTTCAGCAAATGCTGCTGCCAAGTGCCATCCAACAGACAGGCAAGCATATAAAAAAATTGTGATGTGTCTTCATGTACCTTAGTCACCAGATCTTGTATCATGTGACTTCTGGTTCTTCCTCAAAGTCGAATGACTATGAAAGATAAATGTTTGGAGCATATTCAGGACATCGAGGTAGCCACACAGCGCAGTTAAAGATACTCACAAAAGAGGATGTCCAGAACTACTTCAGAAAGTGACAAGAATGTTGGGATATGTGTATTGAAAGCAACAGGGAAGATTTGGAGGGAGATTAATGTATCTTTTAATGTAATAAATGTAAAGAATTTAAACATTGACCATATTTTTTTGTCATACTTCATATTCTATATCATAGCTTTTCAAATTTCAGAAGATAGGCATTTTGTAACATCTTCTCCCAGATTTAAAAAAATTTTTTTTCTTTCAAGCATTCTCAGTTACTATTGTTTCTGATGTGGTTTCTTGCCTCGTGCTGAATGTTATTTTCTTTCCTGCTTCCTCTCAAGTGTACTACCTAGAAAGGGATAGAATTTTAGAGAGAATCTGATCAACTGGAATTAATTAAGACTCTTCTTGGCTTACATATACCTATTTTATTTATGAACTTTAGTTTATAATTGAAACATATTACTTGATCATTTCACATTAAACTTTCAGTAAATATAAATTTTTTTATTGAACTATTCAGTTATTTTCTTTCTTGAGCTTATATTTGAATTTTTACCTTTGAAATTGTATCTTAATAATACTTACCCTTTCTTAAATACCTATGCTGGATACCCTATTTGTGTTTTCATAAATATCTATGAAGTATTCTATTCCCATTTTTCAGTTGTGAAAGCTGAGACATAGAGATGTCCAGATAGAGTCACATAGCTAGTAAATTGCAGAGCCTGTAATAAAACCTAGTTCCTTCTTACTCTAAAGTTACTCTCTTTTGGCTGCCAAAAATTCAGCTAGATGATTTTGAATACTGAATCTAGTTCAGCAAAGGAAAAAAAAA